TTTAGGTTAGGGTTTAGGGTTTCGGGAACCACAGTCGTCTGATCAGCAATCACAGGGTTCCTTGGTGTAGGGTTTACCAGTGCAGGGGGCTGTTGATATCTGTACATATCTGTACCACACTCCTGGGCCACAATGTGAGAACTTCACGTCAGATGCAGGATTCACAGGCTATCGGAGTGTCACCGTGACAAAGACTTTCCAGTGCAAAGTCAACATCAGGACGGTCTTGAACTGCAATGCTGACGCCGATTACACACCCTAGTTTAGATCGAGACAGCGAATCTGCACTAAAATCACTAAACTTTCACTAAACCCTCAACTCCGACACCCAAGCTCTCTGGCAAGAAAAAACCGGCTGTCACTTTGCAAGTCCAAGATTCCGGACTGGTTGCAAAATCTCGAAGGCATCGTTTAGGAAGATCTCAATCTGCTGCGCACCCTTCCCTTAGCTCTGGAGGGCCAGGCTTGGGAAGTCGGGAGAGCCGAGTATCCCTCGACCTCGAGTTATAAGAACCTTCATCCTATGAACCAAAAACCTATATTCCCATAGTTCAGAGGTATTGGGCTCTCTGCATGACACCTCAGTCACAGTCCTCGCACACTTCAGAGAAGCAGTTTCATCCCACATGTGCCAAGCGGCTTAAAAATCAAGAAGCTGCTCAGCCACACGGCAATGCACAGCTACGATACAAGGATGCTCTGACTGCCTTCGGGTCACTTGAGCCCAAGTGCGAGACATCAGCTGGTGGGACCGGGATACAAGGAGGAGCACTGCAGCACGCTGAAGTCTTCTCGCTCTTGCGTTTATTCGTTGTAAACTCTTAAACTTTAACAACTGTCGAAGGCAAGTCTTAGCAAGTCTCGCGCTCACTTCAAGGCGGCACGACAAGAAGCGCACCATCAGAGGTTTGTTGGCGCTACGGTTTCAGATCCTCTCGCTTTGGTCGAAGCACTGCGGTGTACTGGCAACCACGACCACACATGCATATTGTCGTTCCACTGATGACGCATGAAGGCATGGCTTTCCTGCATGTGCTTTTAGTTCGAATCGTGTTCAAACAGGTCGCCTCGCAAACGAAGGACTATGCAACAGCACTGTCCGGCAGAGGCACTTGCAAGGAGTCCTCTTCACTCAAAGCTACTACAAGAGCTTACAGCACATGTATCACCGAGCCTGCATCGTTATCGCCTCTGCGAAGCACAGATGAGATGCCCTCCAGTGCCAAAGCCCGCACGTACTCGTCGTGGTCCCCGACACTGAGCGGCAATGCTGACTGGAACATTTGAGAATTTGTGGATCGCTTCAGGTTTCCGTGGCAGACTCTCGCAATTGGGACCGTCATGCGGGTTTAGGATCTAGGGCTCCATACCCGCATTCACACAAGTTATGCCAGGCTTTGGGCGCAGGGCCCCCGAGCGCAAGATCGACAAAATATAATCACAAGCATCCACGCCTCTTTGACAGATGGCGGCTGAAGAGGTCGTAGCACAGCTTGACCTACGGATCTCTTATCAGCAGCATTCATACCTACCGTAGGGTAGCCATACAGTACCTTTACCAGCAACCCTGTATGGTAACCCTTGTTATTAAATTTTTCTGTAACCGTATGCTACCCATATCCGAATTAGCTTTTTTTAGCACTCGCAGTCGCGCATCCCACTCTCGCAGCACTCTAGGAAAACTTATAGACTCTTATAGTAAGCCTATATTGACTGTGCTCCCCAGGGCCATGTCCCATCCAGGCCTCCTCTGCGTCTGCCCTGGCGAATACCGCCAAGGCAATGTGCATCAAGGCCTGCCAAACTGCAAACGATTCTTCTCCCGGGCTATCGTCTCGTGTGGTTGAGTGCAAGAAAGTGGGTGCAGTAGCAGTAGCCTAAACCCTAAACCATAAACCCCAAACCCTAAACCCTTAGGGCTTTGAGTCTTCGGGCCTGGCCCTGATACGCTACGTAGACGTCGATGGCAAGCAAGCCTGAAACAAGCCTCTGGTGCTTAGAAATGGGGCCGTGGAGCAAAGGGTGCCTTTTGTTCGCTTAGCCGCCCTAAAGCCTGCGAAAACCCCCATAGCCATGTCGCCGTGAAACCCGTCGTGAGCTTGGAACTGTTACAAAACCTTATAAACCTGCATAAAAACCTCATAAACCACTGCAGACGCTTCACATTTTCAGCTTCACCAACCCCTACGTGGTACCTCCACGGCATCGTAACGCAGCTGTGGATTCACATCGCTGATGAGCCGCTGCAATCCTGGGAGCGTGCGAAAGCCGATCATGGGGTCAGCCCATCTTTTCATTTGCCTGGCCTGGTGGGGGTCGCCAAAAGGTTCATATGAGTGAAAATCCGAGTCATTTACTTTCCTTAATCTGAAGACCCACAGAATGCTGGGCTGGCGCACAAAGGTGCTGGTCCATAAAAGTTGAGGAATCTCAGAACGGCAATCTCTCATGTGGAGGGCCAGATCAACTTCAAGCTGAGCCTGTTCAATTTTGAAGTAACTGCACACAGAATTAAATCCACTTTTCATCCACACGTGAATCCCCAGCTCTACTCACCTAGATTATCCAACCAAAACCCAAGCCAAGTCAAGATGTCCATGCGCTGTGGTCGTTTGGGCGCCGCACCCTCCATCGCACCCAAGCCATTCCCATGCCGTGCTTGTTGCACGAGATCTTCCCATGCAGCCATTACGTTGCCACCGGCTGCGACCAGCTCAATTGATCTGCTATTCCCGCAGAAACTTTTAGTGCGGGGTAAAGATCTTATGCAGACGTCGCATATCCGGGCACATCCATATTCCATATTCTATCCACATCGAGGGTGGTTCAAGTAGGCTTGAATCGCGGACTGGTGACATAGCATGACGATCTTGCAAGCTTTGTGTGCAGCAACTCCTTTCCTCCCTGCTTGTAGCCAAAGCTGGCAAGCTGCTCTTGGCACCATCGAAAGGCTTCATTTGACGAGCTTTAGTGTGGGACCCTTTCCGACGGGGTCGTGGGGCCTGTGATTGCCTTGAGTCGCTGCTCCTCCGGCCCAAATGAGATGCATCCATGTAGCGGAAATCCATGCATGAGCATGCACATGTAGGGTTGTGGCGACGGTAGCTCTTGGCAAATCACTTCCACATTGACGTTCGCATGCTTGTGCTCAGTGCTCATGTCGTAGCTTCAAGACCACTGCTGGTCGGACCATGGCATTTACGGTGTTTGATGCCGTAACTCAGCATACAACTTCCGGTGCCTCATGTTCATCGGCAGGGTTAATGGGCAAAACAGGGTTGCTGACAATTCCAGCCAACGCGCTGAAACACATCAAGTTCATAATGCCTGATGTTACAAGCCTGAAGAGCCGTTCAAGGCATGTCCCGGCTAAAAGATCAACCTGAAAGCTACCAGCATACGACCGGACTGCAAAAAACAGAAGACTGTTCTTTCTCGCTGCTCGCTGGGGAGAATCACAGCTCCAGACCTTGGCTTGAGAACTGGGAAATGTGGGATTTTCGGGTTGCTTCTAACCTGGCATGCAAACTGGGAATTCTCTAAATTCAAGTCCGCTTTCGGGGTCCTTTCTATAAAGGTGCCGTACCCTACAGGACCCTAGAAAAGGGACCCTAATTTAGAGGGAACTACCCAAATACCACCGGACATGAGGCTGCGACAGGAGATACTATTTGGGGGGACCTAAAAGGGGGACCCTAACCTAGAGAACTACCCAAAATACTACCAGAAATTCACCCCGGGTCCTTTCAATAAAGGTGCCGTACTCTATAGGGGACCTAGAAAGGGGACCCTCATTTTGAGAACGATAGGGCAGGAGATCGCAGGCGGCCAAGCAGCTCTCGCGTTGCGGCACTTCTGTTCCAGCTGACTCGCAGGCCTCGTACTCCACCGCCTGAGTCTCTGCACGGTTGAAGGCTTATTAGAACTTATTAGGGTTTGGGGTTTAGGGGCCGGGTCTAAGGGTTTAGGGTTTAGGGGTCAAGGGTTTTTTTTGCCTCCCGCCTGGCTAGGACGAACCTGCGCTGCAGGGTCTGATGATGGTCTGAGGTTTAGGGTTTAGGGTTTAGGGGCACACAAGCACCATGGCGAGCATTTCTCAGCCAATCGAAGCTCTTGCTCACTGCTTGAAGTCACATGCAAGCAGTCTGGGCCCAAGCCTGAACGTAGGGATGCCGAAAGCAACCTCACGCGCGCAATCAGCATGGCCACTCAGGAACAGGGAAGTGGTTGTAGAGTAGAGTTGTAGTTCGACCAAAACCCATGTCGATTGGAACAAAAATCTCCACAACAGAATTGCATCTGCAACCGCAGAAAAGCCCATCCTTCACTGCAGCCCGAGCCGGGAACTTTCGGGATCCTCGCAGAGGTTCAAGAGATTCTGCAGGAGATCACGCACCTGCGCGTTCTGTTGGTGGCGAAGAAGGGGTTTCTGAGAGACATCACTCAAGTTCCAAAGTCCGGGTTCGGGCAATCAGCCAAAATGCAAGAGCAGCTTCAACAAAGACCCTGCGTCCAGGGATGATAAAGGAATTCGCGCCGTTCCAATACGGATTGTTTCGGCCCCCATCCCAATCCTTAAACGGGAAGACAAGCAGAAATCGGCTGGTGGCAAACCTAATTCCGCTGCATGCAAGCTAATTTCAAGCCACTCGCAACGAAACGATATTATCTCTTTTTTTTACGAGATTATCCCAAAGAGGCCACGACGCCCTGATTCCGGAAACTTTGACGAAGAGACCCTGAACACCCTTAAACCATGACAAGTTGAATAATTCATGGAGATATTCTGCTTTCAAAACACAAGGAGTTGGGCTTTCTGGGCACCCTCTTCCATTCATATTCAGACCTACCTGCAGCCTGTGGCTTTTTAACCTATGCCTGCGACAACCACGGCCGTTTCGACGATTTCTAGGCATTTGAAGGCCAGAGCATTGATGAACTGCAAACTCGAAGTCGAGACAGCTAGATATTGCTTCAGATTCTGGAATCAAGAAGGATTTTCCTTCACAGATTCCCAAGCTACCCACCTCCTCACAGGCAGCTGTGTGCTTGAACCGCATGATCACGTGCCAGTCGAAATCATCAATCACCTCAGCAGTTGGGGTTTACGATCCAGGATTTACGGTGTGGGCACATCGAAACTTTCAGACGATGGCCCACCTCCTCAGGTCCAAAATCTTCACGTAACTTGGCAACGGCGTCGGCATGCCATGCAACATCCGATGCCTCGGGGCCCGATGCATTAGTTGCTGGCAATCACCATTGCTCCAGCCGTGCCTCCCAGTGGAGACGCAACCTGAGCGCGGCCACATGCATGCGAAGTTCAAGGTATCGCATCAAAGATGATAGGATGATAAAATTTAAATAATGTCCTGAGGAACTGACAGAAGCGTCGGCGCGATGGGACCACGATCCTGGCCAAAAGCTGTAAGTTGCATAGGGTCGAATTCAACCAGGATTTGCTCTGAATTGTGACCCATGGGCCTGGGAGGCTTGCAAAGCTGCAGCGGTGCCACAAGCCTTGCGTCATAACATCCGTACACGGAAATTACTAAGCCCACTAGGCACCTTGTCGGAGTCGAGGCGAAGGAGTTGTGAACCATGCACCTCCCGCGAGTCTGCCGGGTCTTCCGGGGCTCGTTTGACTGACAATAGAGCGATGTCAGAAGTGATTTGCAAATTGCCCGTGCAGAAGATCCCAACCTCTTGGAAAGAAGGCGTGCCATCTGCCCAAACGACATGGTACACGCCATGCTCATCTGGCCCATACTGGACCTTGAGCACGAGAGACCGCACCAAACGGCAGCTTTGAGAGGTGTTGAAAAATGCCTCCGCATCGAACCAGCACTCCTGCATCAAAACGGCTATCGATTCCAAGCACATCGCATGAAGCCTCCTTGCACATGCTGCTTCACGAGCGCCTTGATGCTGGGATTGCATGGCTCCGCAACGCCGTCTCCAAAGTCAACCTAGCTGTCTGCATCGGGAACTGCATCACATGCCACGAGTGTCATCATGGAACAACCCTGACTGACCTCCCCGGCGAAGTATGCCCACACCTGCTCGCCACCCGGACATGGCTCGGCCTGCGAGCACTTTACGGATGCGCTGCAATGAACAGGCGGCTCTGCGTGATTCCCGCGCTCAGCACGTGGCCGGGTCTGGAGGGGCTGAAGTGACGCAGATGACAATCCATGCAACCGAACAGCTGAATCGCATCTCACGCAAGCACATGATCGACTGGCATCCGGAACCAAGGTTTCTGAGATTTAAGCGAGTTGCAGCCGCTGCTGCCATACATCCGGCAGTTTTATCCAACTCAGAGTGTGTGTGTGTGTGTGTGT